AAGAAACGCGTGAGAGACATTGGACAGAAAACACTTGAGAATTAATTTTCTTCGATTGTTTTCTGTCAATTCTCACCGTCGGCCACCATCATCGAGGAAGGCCACTGCTGGACGTTGCCTCAAGACGTTGCTCCGGCGCGTCTTCTATGATCGGAGAGGAAAGCAGCCGGGTACTCACCGGGCATGTGCTCCGGCACGTCGCCGCCGCCGTAAGGTCGTCGCAGAGTGTTGCTCCATTCTCATCGGAGAAATTGTCTTTCGCCATTGTTGGCTCCACGTAATCGGCCACTGCCGGCCACCATCATGGGAGAAAGAGCACGCGCCACAAGACCACCTCAAGATGTTGCTTCGGGGCACGTCTCCCACCAGTGCGTCTCTATTCTCATCGCACTTGGCGACGGAGAAGATGAAATCACGCCAACCACTTCAACCACTGTTTGGGTTCACGCCGCCGGTCGCCGGCCACCGTCATGGGGAATTAGTTTTCTTGGACAGCTGTCCTCCATTGTTGGCTTCTACGACCTCTTCTGAGAAAGAGAATCACAACCTGACTCAACGCTGAAGGACGCTATGACTCAACTTGCTAGAGCTCGGCGAGAAAGTACCCTGCGCTGCTTCGAACGAAACTTTTATGTTTTCTTCCAGGTTCCAGCTTACTGAAGGGAGAGACTCAATATAAACCATGAGTCTTCATAGAGCTTTGCGCTCTAAAAATTTTTAATGCCATCACTTGTTCCAAGGGTTCGCCGGAGGACTTGACGGAGAGGAAAGCCTGTTAAGGCGTCGTCATCGCCTCGAACGCAGCTACGTGCTTGATGAGGAAGAACGCACTACTTAGAGAGAAACTTTGTTTTGTTTCTGCTTAATGACAACCGAAGAGAGACCCATTGTTCGGACCTCTTAGCCGGCCATCATCACCGGACAGTTGTTGCGTCTGCTATCGTCGTGAAACATTCGACGAGCTCACCGCCGGAGAGTCTTGGCTTGATGTCCTCGCACTCCGATGTGGCGACGCTGCCGAGGTAACCCAAAACATCTTAGTTCTTCACTTCTTCGTCGTAGACCACCTTCTTGTGTCTTCGACCTTGCAGCGTCGAAGCTCTCCACCTTATATAATGGTAGCCTGTTTTGAAATTTTCATCTGACAAAACCATGTGCCTTCGCCCTTTTCCACATGTCAGGTTGGGAGGTCTTTTTCTTCACTTTGCGTATTTCAGTGTATATACGTGATTGTCACAGCTTTTTGTGCGTGTATATATATATTTAATATTTTTGCTTTATCACCTTGCATGCCATTTATGTGCTTGCCAACATATATGTATTATAATCCTTGTTTCTCTTGCAATGTATATATATGTATATAATGTAATGTGTAGTCCATCCTCATGCCTCTGCTTTATTGCGTGAATGTACACATATGTATATATATATATGATGTACTAACTTTGTCTGTGTGTGTAACATATATATTATATATTTAATTTGCTTTGCATGACATTGCGTGGGTATATATGCACACACGCATATAATATATATATATACGTAGTATGCAAAACACAAAGAACCAATAACGCCTCCATTGCGATTTGAACTCACAACCTTTCAAATAGAAGTCCAACCCAAGTACCATTAGACCACATGATTTTGGTATTAAAACTTTAATTTTTCCTTGTGTTATAAATTTTGGACAACTTTTGGACTTGACTCATAATGTAGCTTCACATATCAAGAACCACTTTTGAACAATGGTCTTGTTCTGAGGAACAATGGGATCTAACAAAAGAAGAGACCCATACTGTCGAGCAATGAGACTGGAAAAGACGTGCCATACCAAGAATCCCTTCCAGCCATGACTTTGAGTGGAGAATTGGACTTTTGATATTGAAACTTAGCCCTCAAAACATGGGATCTGCAGTTCGGCCCACGACATGTGGAATATTCATATGTACCCCCGACTTTAAGGAGATGGATACTTGAAGGTGGAGCTTCGTGCAACTAGCACCATGGAATATTCAGATATACTCCCGACTTTAGGGAGATGGAAACTTGAAGGTGGAGCTTCGTGCAACTAGCACTCTCAGTATGCATCATGACTTCTTGAAGGCCACCATGAGGCAGTTTTAACTCGTGCCAAGGAATCTTGAAAGATATGTGGCGGTTTCGACTCATGCCATTGAGTCTTAAAGGATATGCGGCAGCTTCGATAACCCACTCTTGCAACATGAATTGGATTTGTTTTTGTTATGAATGAACTTAGATAATTTGATTCTAAGCTGCCTACGTACTCCTATCAAGGAGATCAAGTCAAACGTAGTTCAAATGATTTTTTTTTTACAAAGTAGAGCCGTCCACAGTTTAGACTCATGCGGGCCAGGAGCGTCTATGATTTGGGCCCACCCATAGACAAAGCGAGATGCATTAGCAGTTTAACCACGTGCTGCATTTTTGGTGGATCAGTCATTCATCACATCTTCATGACTTGTGTTGACACCCCAAGTTTAAGGGTGGTAAAGCTTTAGGAACCTTCCATTGATTGGACCGATCTTCAAACCATCTTCACTAATCAACTTGTAAGCCCCACCGGTGTAAACTTCTAGAATCACATAGGGACCATCCCACCTTGAAGTGAACTTGTGACCAGTTTTTCTCGTGACGATGATGGGCGTGCGAACAGCTAGGACTTTGTCCCCAATTTGAAAGGAACGGGTCCTTACCCTTTTATTAAAAGCTCTAGACATGCGAGCTTGATAGCACTCCAAGCTTTGTTGCGCCTGCAGATGTTTTTCATCCAAGGCTTCTAGCTCAGCCAAGCGTAGTTTAGCATTTTCTTCATCGGTAAGACCCTCCTGTATGGCCAACCTTAAGGAAGGTATTTGGCGCTCTAGAGGCAAGACCGCTTCTACACCATACACCAAAGAGTATGGAGTGCTTTGAGTAGGTGTGCAGTATGTGGTTCTATACGCCCACAAAGCTTCTTCCATTCTGTCATGCCAGTCCCTTTTCGATTTTGAAACCACTTTCTTCAACAAATTGCATAGGGTCTTGTTAAAAGCTTCAGCAAGCCCATTCGCAGCTGCACAGTAAGCTGATGAGTTTCGCTGCTTAAAGTCAAAAAGCTTGCAGATCTTGTCCATCAACTTGTTGTCTAAGGGTTTCCCGTTATCTGTTAAGATATATCGTGGGATACCAAATCGATAGACGATGTGGACACGGAGAAAGTCTGCAACATTTTCTTTCTTCACCTCCTTCAATGCCACGGCTTCAACCCATTTTGAAAAGTAGTCGGTGGCAGCTAGTATATATGCGTGCCCTGCAGATGACTCAGGCGTAATTGGGCCAACCACATCAAGTCCCCAAGCATCAAATGGCCAAGATGCAACTGTTGGGTGTAGAGGTTCTGGTGGCTGATGAATAAAGTTTGCATGATATTGACAAGCTTGGCACCTTCGAGCATAGTCTATGCAATCCTTTACCATTGTAGGCCAATAATATCCCATTCGCTTAATGTGGAAATGCAACTTGGGACCGGATTGATGTGCACCGCAAACCCCAGAATGAGCTTCTTGCATAGCTTGTAAAGCATCATCTTCCCCTAGACATCGGAGAAATATTCCATCAAAGGAACGACGATACAATGTCTCTTTATAGTAGATGAAGCGAGGAGTTCGACGCTTTATATCCACCCTTTTACGGGGATCTTCAGGTAACTTTCCATCAATGAGGTAGTCAATTAACGGTTGCCTCCAGTCGTCTTTGCCTATATTATACACTGAGGCAGTAGGGAGTTCAACAGTTTCATCAAATGAGCCGTCTTCATTAAAGATTGGTGGAACCACCCACCTTTGACATACTTGTATTCGGGCTGCAGGATGAGCAATAGTTGAAGCCAATGCGGCTAAGGCGTCAGCTTGCTTGTTTTCTTTCCTCGGTACATGTTCAATTGTGACGTCCCCTAAACATTGCATGAATATCTTTGCATAGTTGTTATATGGGACTAACTCCGCCTTTTTCACTTCATATAGACCCAACACTTGGTTTGTGATCAACTTTGAATCTCCATAAATGTTAATTCTTAGTTGCTTCATGTCAGCCGCTATTTCGAGCCCAAGTATCAATGCTTGATACTCAGCAACGTTGTTTGAACATTGCTCGGTCAAGGTGAATGAATATGGAAACACCTCGACTTCCGGAGTGACGAAGACAACTCCAGCACCTGCCCCCTCTCTATGCGAAGCTCCATCAAAGTACATCTTCCATGGGGGTAGGATTTCAATGACAAGCACATCTTCATCAGGCAAATCTTTAGACAACTCCCATTCAGCAGGTATTGGATGGTCTGCTAAGAAATCGGCTAAGGCTTGCCCCTTGACAGACTTCTGCGGCACATAGATGATTTCAAATTTTTTAAACAATAAGTACCACCTTGCAAGGCGGTCAGAGAGCACGACCTTCGCCATAACATACTTCACCGGGTTCGCTTTGGAAACAAGCCGGATTGTATGAGCCTCAAAGTAGTGCTTAAGTTTTTTGATGGCGAACACAAGTGCCAAACATAGCTTTTCAATTAGGGAGTACTTTAACTCGTTCGGGGTCATCATTCTACTAAGATAGTAGAGAGCATTCTCCTTCCCTTTGTTATTTTCTTGAGCAAGCAAGGCGCCCACAGAACAATCTTGGGCGGAGATATAAAGGATCAGCGGGCGACCATGAACAGGAGCGGTTAGCACAGGCGGCTTCATCAAGTATGACTGGATACTCTCAAATGCGCTCTTGCATGCCTCGTCCCATATGAACGGGATGCCCTTTATCATCAACCGACTAAAAGGTTGACATCTTCCTGCTAGGTTTGATATGAACCTTCGGATGTATGCCAACTTCCCTTGTAAGCTTTTAAGCTCATGAAGGTTTCTCAGCTCAGGCATCTTCATTATGGCGTCAATCTTTGCTTGTTCAATCTCGATGCCCCTGTGTCGAACAGTAAGCTTGCCCAAAGTCGTCTAATGATACAAGGCTTCAACCAGGGAGGGCAAAGAGCAATCGGCATCATCAGACTTGACTTAAGAATTGGAAGTCTGAGTTCAGGTGTCCTCTGCCACGTCATAGATGCAAGGGCATCTTATAACTTGTTACTTGGAAGGCCATGGATACATGAAAATGGGGTGGTACCCTCGTCTTGGCATCAATGCCTCATGTTTGAAAAGAACGGCGTAGTTGAAAAGGTTGTCGCCGATGAAAGCCCTTTCACAGAGGCTGAGTCTTACTTTGCAGATGCAAAGTTCTACATTAAAAGGCAAGTTATTGTTGAAGATATTGAGGGAAACAATGACGATCCACCTTCCCAATCAAAGTCAAAGGGAAAACAAGTTGTAGAGGGAGATCAACACAACACAAAACTCATATTCCCGCTTGCAATGATTGATACACTCAAAACAGATGCAGCAAAATCATCCAAAGAGAAATGTGGTGATAAAGTGGGCCAAATATTCCCCGCCAAACGTACCGAGGGTTTCGACCCTAACGCTTATAAGCTTCTAGCCAAGGCTGGCAGACCCAAACAATGGTGGAAAACAACCCAGGAAATTAATTCCTAGGAAGCTCCGATCCAATGTTGGTGACGACGGTGAGTTCAAGCAATGGTGAAATACACCTTAGAAAGTCAATTTCCAGGTGTTTTCTATCCAATGCCTCACATTCCTCGATTTTCTTCTTCTCCTATCGAAAGAAAAATCAAGAAGATAGTATATATGGTAAAAAATTAAATTACCTGAAGAACAAGATGCAGCTGGTGAGGTCAATTGCTGGCAGTAGCTGTAGTCCGTGGTGTGGAAAACTGTAAACCTGTTGGGAGCTATTTATAGATGCAGAGTCTTGAGGTCTTATGAGTTTGGATATGCTTAGGACTCCAATTCTGTTTGTTAATCCAAATCGGATTGTGAACTGTGTGGTGCAAGTTATAATGTGATGAGGATTCAAAAACTAATTGGTGGATTGTGAGCGGCTTGCAAATCCGCGCGTAGGAGAAGGACTTGGAAAGTTTCGTGCATGGCTGGCATTCAAGCTCTAAATTCTAGTAGGAAATTAATTTTGGCCGAAACAAATTAAGATTAAAAAATGGGCTAAAATGGAATGGGCCTTTAATGAGATGTTGGACACACTATGGACTTTGGATATGGGTTTTGTTGGGCTGTTATCAAGCTGGGTACTCTACCACCAAGATATAGTTTATTGGATTGCTATCTACAAATATAGATTCTTGGACCATTACGGTTAATTTCGAGACTACCTTCCCTCTGCATTTAAGGCACGTCAAGCAAGTCTCGAAGGGGCAATATGTAAGCATCAAAAATTTGAATGATGTTATTGGGCCGTGGTGAATATTTAATTATAAAATTAATTACTTTAATTAGGCTAATTGGACTAATATTTATTTAATTGGGTTAATTAAATGGCCCATTAAATATTTAATTGGTTTAATTACTTAATTAAATGTAATTGGATGTTGGATTGTTCGGCCTGAGATGATGAAATATTTAATCAAGTTGGACCAGGCTGCTTGGATGAATTGGGTTGCCTAGTTAGTGGGTTTGACTTGGTCTTGGCCCATCAAAATTATATGTGGATTATATAATTTTGGGAAGTTTGAATATTTTATATTATTTGGAAATTTAATGAAATCATGAACCTGGACACAATGGTGTCCCGGTACATTCCTTAATTTAATTAAAGAAACTAAATTAAATAAGGAATTAAGAGTTGGTTGGAGATTTTCCCTCACACTCACCACTATAAATAGTGGTTTCATTTTCAAGAATGGGAGCTGGAAATCTGCATATCGAAGCTCTGCCGAAATCTCGTCGGGACATCGTCTGGAACACGCCCGCAGTTATATATACTGCGTATATTGCGCTAAGGAACACGCCACTTGAACACCGGAAGCCCTTCTTTGAAGATCAAGCTGCATATTAGCCCTTCACTGAGGAACAAGCTACTAACTCCGGAGGCCCTTTAGCAAGGAACTACTCCAATTCGGCACACTCCCGAATTCGGCATACTCCCAAACTCGGCATACTTCCAGTTCAGCATACTCTGAACTCAGCACACTTCCAACAAGGAACTCGGCATACTTCCAGTTCGGCCATACTCCCGAACTCGGCATACTTCAAGTTCAGCATACCCTGAGCTCGGCACACTTCCAATTCGGCATATTCCGAATTCAGCACAGTTCTAATAAGCATACTTCTAGTAGAGAATCAGAGGACTTCTCATATACAGAGATTGTACCCCTTCTTGATTGATACATACTACTTGTAACCGATACTTTGAATTTTGAATATATACAATTCAAGTTTTTCGCGTTTACATACTTAATTTATAATATTAAGACTTCTATAATTTATTTTGTTATTATGTGCTACCAACTATTTTTTTTATAGTCCCATAAAATGTAGGGGTTTAAATTAATTGTGACTTTAAATATTGTTATACTTTAAATTTGTCTAATATTACGTATGTGGACAGTACGTTCGTCCAATACATAGATAGGTGCAAGCAATTGCCAGCCATTTGTTTTTGTAGATAAACTAAATCCTGCATCGATATGCAATTGTCGAAGACCATGTAACAACAAGAGACTTGCTATCTGCCTTTGAGGATGAATGTAACCATACAATGATCGATGCACCAAATCACAACTTAGCTGGTAATAAGATACTATCCTGGTTTTTGAAACAACTATAAGTAAAGTACATATGGTCGATCTTTCACTATTAAAATTCATTTTTAAATGTATTTTTAATTTCAGATGCGAATATATCGAGTATCGATGTTAGGCAGACCTCGGATATTGGGACATCCTCTGGTCCACAACATGGTATGTATAGTTGTTTTATAACTGCATAAAATATCAATTAGTATTTCATGTTGTATATATTTGGTTTCAGGTCAATACTTCGATTTTGGTGATGCAACAAATAAATGCGTCCATTGTGGGGCTTTGTTTTGGTTTGAAGAAAGGAAGAAGAATTTGTCAACAAAAGCATCGCCACTGTTTATGTTGTGTTGCAACAATGGGAAGATCAAGTTGCCGGATAATAAGTTGCTACCAAAAGGTATATTTGATCTCTTTTTCGGCAATGACGAATTATCAAAAGAATTTTTACACAACATTAGGACCTACAACAACATGTTCTGCTTCACATCCATGGGAAGAAAAATTGACAAGAACGTGAACAAGGGGGGAGCACCTCCAATTTTTCGATTAAGTGGTCAAAACTATCACCTAATGGGCACTCTACTTCCAGAACAAGGCAAAGAACCTCATTTTGCCCAGTTATACATATACGACACGGCAAATGAAAAGATCAACCGTATAAATGTTGTGAGGTAAACAAGTTTGCGTAATTACACATTAAATACTATTTTTTATCTAAATAAATATCAATGCTAAGTTTATGTTGTTGTAGGGGTAGTGGTGAGCAAGATGACATTCATGTAGAAATAGTGAATGTCATTCAGAAAGACCTCGATGAAAATAATGTTTTGGTTAAGTCTTTTCGGATGGCTATGTCTGAGTTGGATATTAATCCATGCGCCGAAGTCAAAATAAAGTTGTTGGGAAAAAGAACTAGAGATGCGAGGACATATAATCTGCCTCAAGTTTCTGAAGTAGCAGCTTTAATTGTGGGAGATCTGGATACCAGTATTGGAGAGCGTGATATTATTGTTCAATCGAAGGGTGGCCACCTACAGAGGATAAGTGAATTAAATCCTTCATACTTACCACTGCAATACCCTATTTTGTTTCCATATGGCGAAGACGGTTATCGGGAGGACATTGCGTTCGCGGACGTAGTAGGCAAGCGCTCTTCAGGTGGTAGACAGAGGATTAGTCCCAGGGAGTTTTTTTGCTACCGCATACAGTCTAGACAGTCAGCTTCGAGTACCATATTATTTGCAAAGCGGTTGTTCCAACAGTTTGTTGTAGATGGCTACACAATGGTTGAGTCTGGAAGACTAATTTATATAAGGACACACCAAAAAAGCCTAAGGTGTGAGAGTTATAGTGGATTGACTGATGCTTTGACAAGGGGTGAATTAAGCCCTGCAGCCCAAGGTCGTAGAATAATACTACCTTCAAGTTTTACGGGTGGTACTAGATACATGATACAAAACTACCAAGATGCAATGGCAATATGTAGGTGGATTGGATACCCAGATTTATTTATAACCTTTACATGCAATCCGAAGTGGCCTGAGGTGCAACGCTTTTTAAAAGATCAAAGGTTGAAGCCAGAAGATCGGCCGGACATAATTTGCCGGTTATTCAAGATTAAGTTGGATGCTTTGATAGCTGATTGTCGAAAGAATAAACTATTTGGCCCTGTGGCTGGAGGTAATATTTGTCCTTTTATTTTAAATCAATTTTGTTACAATTTTATGTAATTACTTAACCTTATGATGTTTATGTCTATGTTGTTGCAGTCATATATACAATTGAGTTTCAAAAGCGAGGTCTTTCGCATGTTCATATATTACTTTTTTTGGAGAAAAGTAAAGAAGTTAGGCAAGTTCTTATTCTAGACAACAAAATTTGCGCAGAGATTCCAGATGAAAAGAAAGATGCAGAGTATTACCAAGCGGTAGAGGAATTTATGATGCATGGTCCATGTGGAAAAGCGAGGACCAATTCTCCATGTATGGTAAATGCGCGATGCTCTAAACATTTTCCCAAGAGATTTGTTGAGAGTTCTACATTTGATGACGATGGTTACCCGGTATATAGAAGGAGAGACAATGGCAGTGTAGTTACAAAGAACGGGATCGCCTTGGACAACAGGTATGTGGTACCGCACAATAGATATTTATTGCTCAAGTACAAGGCTCATATAAATGTCGAGTGGTGCAACCAGTCACGGTCAATCAAGTACCTGTTCAAGTATGTTAACAAGGGTTATGATCGGGTAACCGCCGAATTTTACAAAACAGGCAATGATGACGAGAATGGAAAAGAAATAGATGAGATAAATATGTACTATGACTGTAGGTACATATCCCCGTGTGAAGCGGTTTGGCGTCTGTTTGGTTTTGATATACAACTTCAGGCGCCTTCAGTGGAAAGGTTAAGCTTTCACCTTCCTAATCAACAGAGTGTGATATTTGCAGATGATGATGCTGTTGAGAACATTGTGAATAGACCTACGATAGCACAGAGCATGTTCTTGGAATGGTTTGAAGCAAATAAAACATGCCCCGATGCGAGAGAACTTACTTATGTTGAGATGCCAACAAGATTCGTTTGGAAGAAAGACCTTAGAAAATGGTAGCCACGAAAGAAAGGGTTCTCAATATGACGTATATTCTATGTTCCGCCAGCTACTGGTGAAATTTTCTATTTGAGGTGTTTGCTGAACAAAATCCGGGGCCCTAAAAGTTATGAAGATATTAGGACTGTAAATGGGGTGCAATATGACTCATTCCGAGATGCGTGTTATGCAAGGGGTTTAGTTGATGATGATAACGAATATGTTGATGCAATAGATGAAGCCAGTCATTGGGCGTCAGTAGATCAATTGAGGAGATTGTTTGTGACATTGCTAATGAGCAGTTGCATGGGGAAACCGGAAATAGTTTGGCATGCTGTTTGGCAACATCTATCAGACGATGCACAATTCAACGTCTGTAGACAACTGCAGAACAGAGGTAATCGTACATTTTTAAAAAAATATTAAGTCAAGTTTAACGTAGTTGTGTTATAACACCAAATTTTAATATATATTTATGCAGATTTTGTGTTGACCGATTCGCACAAAATGAACTTTGCTTTAGTAGAGATTGAGAAGCTATTATCTAATCATGGTAAGAGTTTGAAGGACTATCCTGAAATGCCAACGGCAAATTTTGGTGCCTTAAACGTTATTGCAAATAGGTTTATTCAAGAAGAATTAGCATAGGATTGTGGCAAACAGGAGAAAGAGAATCAAGAATTGGTAAGGCAGTTAACAGACGAACAAAAGGCAATATACAATGAAGTGTTAACTGACGTTGATTGCCAGGAAGGGGGATTATTCTTCGTTTATGGTTATGGAGGGACCAGTAAGACTTTCTTGTGGCGAGCACTTTCTTCCGCATTAAGGTCTAAGAGTCAAATAGTGTTAAATGTTGCTTCTAGCGGCATAGCTTCGCTTTTATTACCTGGTGGGAGTACGGCACATTCTCGGTTTGCTATACCGATATCTATTAATGAAGATTCCACATGCAACATACGTAACGGAAGTGAACTGGCGGAACTTCTTGGGCAAACAAAGTTGATAATATGGGATGAAGCCCCAATGATACATAAATTCTGCTTTGAAGCCCTTGATTGAACTATGCGGGATTTGATGCGCTTCATAAATCCAAGGAGTTCGGATATGACATTCGGTGGTAAAACAGTTGTTTTGGGGGGCGATTTCAGGCAAATTTTACCAGTCATTCCAAAGGGTACTAGACCGGATATAGTTCGAGCGAGCATTAGCTCATCCTATCTCTGGAAATCCTGTAAAGTCCTAAAGTTGACTAAGAATCTACGTTTGAAGAGTGTTCATTCAGAAAACGAGTGCAAGGAGATCGAGGAATTTGCAAAATGGATAGCTAATATAGGTGACGGAATTATTGGGTGTCAACTTGATGGGGAGTCCGAGATTACTGTTCCAGAAGATTTGTTGTTGAAGTGCGAAGATGAACCTATTGCTACAATTGTTGATAGCACTTTCCCTTATTTCCGACTGGGAATTGCCGATTTGTCATATCTTAATCATAGTGCAATTTTGGCTCCAACATTGGATGTGGTAGATTCCGTTAACCAATACATGAATGATCATAATCCGGCTGAGGGTAAGACATACTTGAGTTGTGATTCTGTGTGTAAGTCAGATGCCAATGTTGACATGTTATCGGATTTGCACACTCCTGAATTCTTGAATGCCTTGAGATGTTCTGGAGTACCAAATCATGCTTTGACATTGACAGTTGGATCACCTGTTATGCTATTGCGAAATATTGATCACACACTAGGATTATGCAACGGTACAAGGTTGATTGTTACAAGGTTGGCTGACCATGTGTTGGAAGGCCAAATCATGTGCGGTACAAATTCAGGAACCAGAGTATTGATTCCTAGGATGTCACTTACACCGTCAGATCCAAGATTGTCTTTCAAATTTCAACGAAAGCAATTTCCTTTGATGCTATCCTATGCCATGACAATCAACAAAAGTCAAGGACAAACGCTTGCTAAAGTTGGGTTGTTGTTGAAAAAACCGGTCTTTAACCATGGACAACTATACGTAGCTGTTTCAAGAGTTAGTAACCCCAGGGGTTTGAAAATTTTGATTTGCGGAGAAAGTGTACCATGTCTTAGTACGACTAAAAATGTTGTGTACAAAGAAGTCTTCAATAATGTATAATAACATTCAACAATTTATTATTTAAAATTTAGTATTTTTTAAATACTAGGTTTCTTATTATTATTATATTATTATACGTAATATAATATGTACTATATAGGTAGCCATGCATCACATTATTTCAACAATGAAGTATTCAACAATGTATAATAAAATTACTATATTCATCAATGTGTAATAAAATCACAATTTTTCATTTTACATTTTTTTAAACTCTTATAACTATATTCTATACTGTATATATATCATACTATATATAGCCGCGCATCGCGCGGGTGCACCTACTAGTTTTCTTCAAAGAAAAAAATGGTTTACATAATTACATGACAGTAAGGGGAGGGGATAGCCGCCCATCCCCGCCCACTACTATCTTCAATTTTTTATATTTCAACTTTTTTTGATACATTATATCTTTCATTTTTTTATTCTTTATTTTAGTTATGTTATATAATTTTTGTTTGTTAATATGCATGTTATCGTCATCCATAACCATAAGATTTAATTCAAATTCTTTTTCCTATTTTGGAATTCAATTTAGGTTCACAAAAATTGTTCATAATTTAATTAACAAATTATTCTTTCATGTGATGATTGAAGATGTCTACATGTTGGTCTTTTGTAAAGATAAGTGCTCAAAGGCACTTATTCCCATTAGCTATTTCATGTCAAATTGTTATATCTCTTGTTTAGATTGCATGAATTCGGTACTTAATTCCTTATAATTTTATTTTTAGGAATTTCTAAGTAAGAATGGTAAAAGATGATAATTCGCAATATGATGGAGTGTTTTGGCCATACATTTGTCATACGATGTCCAAATTGGGTGATTCATGTGTCAATGTAAAGCTATAAAAGTCATCTTAAACACTTTAAGATATTTCAAATGTATTATATATTACCAGAAAATCAGAACATTTGGACACGTCCTGATCTGAAGAATCTGTCCTGTAACATGTTGATAGTGTTTTGATCATATCTCCCTCAAATGATATCCAAATTAGACGAATCAAAGCGGCTTGAAAAGATAAAATAGTTCCCTACAACTATCATGTTCAAAGTTTTCTCAAATTCAGAGCAGAAAATGTTCAAAACTAAGCCTGAAGTTTGATGCGCCAAGTGACTCGGCGATGACAAGCCACATGTCACCTGAGTGACTTTTCTTGCGAATTTTGATGCGGCCATGACACACCCGGCAATTTATATCCTACACCACGGCACACGTTGCACTATGCGCCCAGATGCAAAACGACGTCGTTTTAATTTTTTTTTTTTTTAAATTTCCCGCCCCAGTGAATGGCAGTAGTTTTTTCTTAAAAAAAAAACCCGCTGTTCAAGAATGTACATAATGTTATACTAGAATACACATAATGTTATACATGAATGTATATAATTATATAACAAAATATACATACTCTTTTTAAAAGATAATACACATAATCTAACATAATATATAATAAACATAAACTTTTAACATAATACACATCAACTCTTAACATAATACACACAAATTTTCATGATTCGGATGTACATAATTATATAAAAAGAATGTACATAATTGTATAAAAAATACACATAACTGTATGAACCAATACACATAACGTTGTGAACAAATACACATAATCTCAGCAACTTCCTACCGCGCTTCCCAACACTACCCCAAAACGACGTCGTTTTGGGAGGCGCGCGGCGCACAGTGCTATGTGCGCCGTGGTGTAGAATATAACGATTAGACACACCCCGTGCCATGGTCATGTCACAATCTATGTAGGATGCGGGAATGAGTATTTAAGCCCATTTTGTGATCTTTTGGAGTACTTTTGAACCATAAACTTCAAGAAACGTTCAAGACACTTTTGGGGACTTCAACCAATAATTGCATAATTGAATTGCATGCTTATTAGATTTTTGATGATGCATTATCATTGAGATAGAGATATTCTTAGGTTATGTAGATCCCACACAATCGGAAGTAGTTGAATGCAGCCATAGAAAATAGAATGGCATCAATCATATTTTATAATCAATGATATTCTATGGGATCAATAGATCAAAGTACAATTTTCACATTAATTAATTCTCTCAAACCTACTTGACTTTGTTTGCTTGCTTTTATTTTTATTTTTCCTTTTTTCCCAAACTCTATTACACATTTTACCAAATGCAACATAATAGAACAACAAATAGTACTAATACTTGTAGTCCATGTGTGATACGACACTCGTTACTCACAACTCTATAATTATAAAGTATAAACGATAGGTACATTTGTCTATTCGAAATTGTATAGTTACAAATTGAGTATCAAGTTTTTGGCACCATTGTCGGGGACTTACGATATTAGGAAATGTTTTGTTTTATTAATATACTCATTTATTTTAAATTATACATCTCTAATCTTTTCCAAATAACTCATCAGTATTTGTACAAATTAATGTGATTATATACATATGTGTGCGTGTGTGCAGTGTATCTGTGATTGCAAGATTTAGGTGTAAGGAGTATGGTGTGAGTTGTGAAAGTGCGGGTGCCTTCTTCAACTCCAATCAGTTGAATTCCTTTGTGTTTTGGTGCCCTACTTGAGTAGTAGTGATGTTGGGTGCAAATTGAGGCCTTTGGGAGATGAAGAACCCTAACTAGGCATGTATTTTCCAAATTTGGGATTGCATGAAGATGAGAAGGGAGATCTATGAGGAAGTCGCCGTCTTCATCTGTGAAGCCTTTTACCCATGAAGATGGATATGATGCTCTTCTTCCACTTCTGCTGCACAAAATACCCACTGATGCACCTGCATATACGTACATATATATATACATATATTACTCATTCATTTTGTACCTCGGTCTAATCAATTTTTTAGGTTTTGAATCTCCCATGAGACCCCGTTATTTCGTCAATGGGGATCGAATCAAACCCCCACTAGATGCCCATGTCAGACCTACCTTGTCGCTAGAGGTGGGACTTCCAGAATGACCCTTAATCATATCACTGAAGTCCCACCTGACCCCATGTGTTCTGTAAAAATCAAATGGAAACTCGTCACGGTTGGGCGGCGCCTAGGCGCGATTTTACAGTAGTGATTTGGGGTAATCCAAATCAAGTTGTAATCACAAAGTTTACTCTTGTAGGAGCTGTTTATTGTTTTTTTATCACTGAAGCCCCACCAGACCCCATGTGTTCTGTGGAAATTAAATTCCCACCTTCACCCTAGTCTCCCATGTAACACACACAGACAAATAAAAAATTATTACACATGACTCTAGAATTACAAAATAATAATAATAATAATAATAATAATAATAATAATAATAATTCGGCCGAGTTAGGGGCCTAAATGGAAACTCACCACAGTTGAATAGCGCCTAGACATGATTTTTACCGCAGTCATTTGAGGCAACCTAAGTCAAGATGACTCAGTAACCACAAAGTTTACTCTTGTGAGAGCTGTTTATTATTATTTTTTTTTTTTGTTTGTTTGAACCAATCAATTACAGAAAATTCTCTTTGTAATTTTTTTATGACTAAGATCACAATAATAGCTTCATCCAAAGCACACATTCGAATAAATCAAAGAATGAAATATTAATGATCAAACAATGCATGTACAACATTGAAACTTGATGAACTAACTGAATTTAATTCAATTCTTACTATACGAACCTGGGATGGGATGAAGAGACGGGCTTTGATCGCCGTCGCTGCAAGTCTGACAAACAACTTTACCTTCAATCAGAACGGTGGAGATCTTGTCTTCACCATAGCCAGCCATTTCCACAAGCTCCTCTCTACTATAAACCTCATCAATAATAAGTTTCCGGCGACTATTCGCCGTCGCCGGAGTTTCAAGAATTACAATAAAGATTATGAAAGCTAACAATAATGGTGACGCCATCACCCTGCAGATCAGAGCTCCCTTGATATT